TCCTCCTTCTCCCTCCCCGCTTTTGGGCGTCATGGTTTGCAATACAGGTACGGAGAGGTTATTATTGTTCCTTTACCTATTTTTGAAGTTGGGCCATTTATATCAGTCTTATAAAGGTAAAGGTAAAAGGTAAAGGCCCTCCCGTTGATCGTCGATTTGCTCGAGCGGGCCCAGTAACGTCTCCATTGGAGACTTTGTTGTTACTGTGTCTGGCATATCGAATACTCTCGGTAGCTGGCCGGGCTCTCCGAGAGGGGCGGAGGAATCGAACTCGGGTCGGCCATGTTGGCCGCTTGTAAGGCGAATGCCCTACCGCTGTGCTATCGCTCCAGCCCATCAGTCTTGTAGTGTTTACTATTCAAGTGAGTTCAGTTAAGGTTTCTCCCATTTCACCACTGATGGATATTTAGCGTGGTTTTCAGTATCGCATAGTGTGTAGTTACTGTGGTACACAATTTTTGTTCATGTTTTTGAAGTATTTGAGCATCCCCTAAGAATTGATTGATGTAGAATTATAAAAAGTCAACAAACTATCTAAAAAAAATGCCCCCTCTCTCTACTCAGAGCACCAATAGGAGCACCAATCTGGATTTAGAGCTGAATACTGTACCTCCTGTGTTGATCTTTCTGTTTCTGTGCTCTGAAATATCTGTCTCAAACTGAGAATTGTAGTAATTATATATGTATATATATATATCTGTGTTTATTTTTACTACATAATGGAATAACAGAAAAATCCAGTAGCTTAAAGTATAAACATTATTCATAATTTCTTTAAGTTGTGAATTCAGGAGTGACTTAGCTACTCTGGCTCAGACTCCAGTTACTTTAATTCAGTATTTCTCAAAGTAGTGCTACTGCTGCCCGGGAAATGCTTGGAATAATGGGGAGTGGGTGGAGGGGGGTGTTATATCCTAGGGTGCAATTGTGGAGCACTTTGTTTTCTTAAAGAAGGCAGCTTTTGAAGGGAGTGTGCCGAACAAATCCTTATCTGAAAAGGGATAGCTGATCAGAGACATTTGTGGAGTTCTCAAACTCTGATTCTCACCAGGGCACACAGATGAAAGTTGTGTAAATGGGCGAGGACATAGTGGTAGGACTCAAGGGAGCCTCTAGTATCTCGTATCTCTCCTGCCCATGAAATCTCTTAAATGTTTGACTTAATAAAAGATGGATTCTCATCTGCTTCAGTATACAATTTTTTTGTAGTAATTACATTTCTGGGCCCGCTCGAACAAATCAATGAACAGCAGGAGGACAGTGACAGTGACATGCTTTAGAACACTCATGCAGAGACACTCTTGTATACTTGTGAAAAATTGACAGTGGGGAAAAAGGCAAAATAGTCTTGGCGTTATAAGCCACCTAATAGGGGTTTGATTCCCTAAAGGTAGCTGTATAAAGGGTTAACTAGGTGTTTACCCACATGAGTAATTAACACATGGGGGTGGGGGGTGGGGATGGGGGGCAGTACTGGAATTGAAGGCTCTTCCTGTTTGCTTAAAGAAGGTAGATTTCCAGGGGTATACTAATTAAAAAAAAAATTCCCCTGAAAGGCACCAGTAGGCAGTGGTCTATGGCCTTTACCCAAGAAATTTGGTACTGTTGTTTTTGGTAGGTCAAATCCCAAGGAGTGCTGGATCGGGGCACCAGGGCAATGTAAGGTGCTCATTGAAATGAACTGTGTCAGGGGCAGAACCAGGGGCTTAGCGCCTGCAAGGCATAGTACCTTCGATTATACCTTTTTAATTCCTCTCTCATGGTAATCTTCATCAAATACTAACAGTATGTATAAGATCAGAACTGTCAACATGATTATAATCAAGGATAAACCATAAGAAGTTGAGGATTATTCTTCTGAACCACTTATAGCGTAAAATATGCCATCTAATAATGCTCGTTCCCATACTTATTTGACGTGTCCACTCCTCCGGAAAGAAGAGTGATTACTCAGTGTCCCCCTGGAAGTCTCTTATCATTATTCTGGAGTCACCCCGGCAATGCTAAGGACTTAATATTGGTTCTGTGCTCAGGGGTCTCTCCAGGCAGTGCTCAGGGGAACCTTATTCAGTACTCAGGTTGGCTACATACAAATGCCCTTACGTTTTTACAAGACACTGTTCTGTCTCTTGGACCCATCCATCTTCTTTCAAGTGCGCAAATAATGTTTCACAATTTCACCCAAGGCTGCTACCACCACCCCAACCCCTCATACACAGATTTTCCAGTGTCTCCACATTTTCCAGTATGTAATTCGTTCACACGATCATTGATGAGTTCTTGGAAACGGGCACATTAAGCTAAAATGACAACAAAACTACGTCCTCCATAATTTTTAAATGCAGATTGAAATTGTATTTTTTTTCTTCCTCATCAAAATAAAAATGGAACATTTGAGGGCCTGCCGACCTGAACTGGATAAAGACGGGAAATTCAAAACCTTTTCCCTTCAGGCTTTGCAGTACTAAGGATAGAAACCATAGCCTCTACCCATGTAAGGCATGACCTCTACCACTGAGACACTGAATTTCCTGCTGTTGAGATCAAATGTTCTGTGAGCTTTTGGGGGTTGGAGGGTGGGGGAATTGTTTCTCGTGTTATCTTTAGCAAAGCCTGACAAGCTGCCCGTGACGTATTCGATACGCCAAACACAGCAACAATTGTCACAATGGAGACGTTACTGGGCCTGCTCGAGCAAAGCGATGAGCAACGGGAGGACAGTGACTTTAGAGAACATCAGAATAGCAGTGATGCTACTATTCCTTTTTTAAACGAAAAGTTAGTAAAGTAAGGTCTGTTTATAGAGTGCAAATTACTGAAGTTGAGGTTTAAGCTATGTTTTGGTAGCAGTGTGAATTTGTGAAATGATTTAGCCTCTTTACATCTGTTTACTCATCTTTAAAATTGCATGGATGTTATTTCCATTTGTTCCAGAGTTTTGAGGCTTATGTGAAATTGTATATATTAATATATTTAAAGCTGTGTGTAAGCAATACTTTTTTTGCTTTAGAAGAGTACACCGTTGCTTCTTATTGTGCAAATGAAACTTCTGTCCCTTTTTATCAAATAGATTTTTTTATATAAAACTCAGAATAATATACCTAGGCAATTATCAGGAGTATCACTGTATCACTGTCATCCTGTTGTTCATCAGTTTACTCAAATGGGCACCAGTAACATCTCCATTCGTCCCAGCCCTGAGATTTTAGCAGCTTCTCCCTACTCATCTTTCCCAATGTTGCCATATTGGAGGCTCTTTTAGGGTCAGGAGAATGAGACCTGTTATTGTCACTGTTTTTGGCATATCTAATACACCATAGGTAGCTTGCCAAGCTCTGCCGTGTGGGCAGGATACTCTCAATAGCTTGCCGGGCTCTCTGAGAGGCATATGTGTATATTTTCCTCTATGATTTGTTGCCCACTGTCTCAACCTGATCAAATATGGTGTGGTAATTATGGAAAATGGGTAGGGAGTGTCTTATGATGTGTCAAGGCTGCATGGTCCAGGAATATATTCACTCATGCGTGAGACTTGGCCTGAGTAGGGAAAGCAGCCTGGAGTGTGGTGGTGGTTGGGTAGTGGAGGTCCACTGCTGAGGCTGGGTCCCTTGGGGCGAGGAGGGCTCTCACCCACCCCCCTCTGGGGTGCCCCGAATGAAAACAGCCTGGCACGGAGTTCCGTGGTATGGTTATGGGAGCCTCATTTTATGCTCCCTTCCGGAGAAGCAACCATGAGTTCATTATCAGGAGTGATTGGAAAAATGGAAGGAAATGGTATGAATTACTTAAGCAATGAATAACTTTTAAATATCGGGTCTTGCCTTTTTTTTTTTTATTTTGCTTTTTGGTTCACACCCAGCGATCCACAGGGGTTACTCCTGGTTCAAGCACTCAGAAATTACTCCTGGCGGTGCTCAGGGGACCATATGGGATGCTGGAAATCGAACCCGGGTCAGGCCGCATGCAAGGGCAAACACCCTACCCGCTCTGCTATCACTCCAGTCCCAGGATCTTGCCTTTTTCACTCCTATGTCATACTATTTCCTAATCAGTTTCCCAAAAATGATGATTGATTTTAAGTTTTATAATCTTTCTGTGTCATTTTAGGAATCGAAGAGACAGGCTATAAATATCATCTCGCCCTTATTTTATAGAGGACACTGTGTCAGGGTACTTGTTTAAGATTATTTCAGTACAGGTGTTTCTTAGCCTTGTCTGAACTTTGGAACTAAAGCTTTTTAGACATACTAAGGTGTAGGCCACGCCTTCAGAAATTGTTCATCTGAAGTGATTGCACAATGAATCATTTGCCTTTTAACACTCACTTTTAGCTATTAACATTAAAGTATTGTTGTAAGACTGTAATTTTATTTCTTAGGCCCTTTTTGTTTCCATTTTGTGGCTCTTGGATTATTCCAAGTTTGGTGTTCGGAGGTCACTTAAGCAGTTCTGGGGGAGCCAGATAGTTCCAGGGTCAAATCCTGGTGCATGTATTCAGTATGTTGAGCCCTCTCGCAGACCTCTAAAACCTTTTAGAGATGGCTTTTTCTTTACTTTTTACTCCTCTGGAAATAAGCCACAAACTAGCCTAGCGTTTTTTTCCCCCTCTTCCTCACTGGGCATCCCAGATCATGGGACTGTGAGAATCATCTCAGAGCATCTAGCTGGGGAGCATCAGAGATTAAACTGGTAAGATTCATTCTTGCCAGGCAAGTGCATTCAAGCCTCTGAGCCACCTCCAGCTCCTTCTTACTGGTAGTCACAAATGTCATCATCACTTGAAAATATCTGACAGCACCGGGATTTAAATTCAGCCTCTGAACCACCAACGCAATTTGACGACCTTATTGTTTGTTTGTTTTGCTGCAGTAGGCTAAAAACATGGAAGTCTTGGGTAGCATTAATTAAAAATATAAAAATTTCATCTTGCATTCTGTTTAGGTTCTGGGTCGATATTTGTTGTTTAGATTTAAAACTGAAATCTTTTGTTTTTCTGATAGGTGAAGGCACTGAAAGAGAAGATTGAATCTGAAAAGGGGAAAGATGCCTTTCCTGTTGCAGGACAAAAATTAATTTATGCAGGTATGAATTAAATATTAAGTTTAATGTGTCTTTTACTTTCTTGCAGTGTCATTTAGTTTTAGAAATTGTTATTTTTCTGAATTGTACTAGATGCAAGTTGATCAGAAAAACATAATTACATAGGTAGAATGGGCAGATGTTTGAAAATGGTATTAATTTTCACGTTTCCTTCGATTTTCTTTTTAGTGATGTATTGTCTTTGGGGGTGAGGGATTGGGCTAAATCCAGCTGTGTTCAGGTCTTGCTCATGCTCTGTGCCCAGGGATCTCTCCTAGCAGCAACACTGTATGTTTGAGTGGGGCTCACCTGCTGGTGCTCAGGGCTTACTACTGGCTCTTTGCTCAGTGATCACTATGGCAGACGGGGAGGACTATATGGGAAGGCATATAAGTCTTTCCCATGCTGTAATATCAAGCAGAGCTTTTTAAAAGTCGTATCTTTTGAAAATCTCTGATGTACAGGTCATGTTTGATAGCTCTTAGTCCTGTTGATCATGTTTCCGTTTCCCTTTATCTGGGATGATCATTCCATGTTTTTCTTGGGGTACTGATAGAAGTGCATTTTGTTTTTGAGGCCCTGTGTGTGATCCCCAGCATTGTGAAGAGGGGAAAATTAATGGTGGCGATTGTTCTGGTTTGTTACACAGAAGACAGTGTTTACTCTGCCTAAGTGACTTCTTTTTCCCTCATCATGTTAGGTAAAATTCTCAACGATGAGACTGCGCTGAAGGAATATAAAATTGATGAGAAGAATTTTGTGGTGGTCATGGTGACAAAAGTAAGTTTCTGTCTCATCCCATCATCTTTATGTCTGTAAAATATTCATCCCGGATCTGGCAGCATAAATGACTAGAGTTACGTACACCCATAGTGACATGGTCCAATGTAATCAAAACAATTGACACATAAAACATGTTAAGATGAGTAGGTTTTGGGGCTGGAGTGCTAGTACAGTGGGTGGGATTCTTACCTTTCACACAGGTCGATCTCCAGCATCCCATGTTGTCCCCAGAGCACTGCCTGGAGTAATTACTGAGCGAAAAGCTAGGAATGACTGTTGACTGTTGGGCCGCATCATTGGGTGTGGCCCAAAAACACAACATAAAGTTAATGAGGTTTTGCTAGAGTACTAAAACCTTTAATTATATACTATTAGGAAGTGGGCTTCGAAGGAATTAGTATGTTTCTCATTTTATAAGGTAAAGGTAAAGGCCCTCCCGTTGATCGTCGATTTGCTCGAGCGGGCCCAGTAACGTCTCCATTGGAGACTTTGTTGTTACTGTGTCTGGCATATCGAATACTCTCGGTAGCTTGCCGGGCTCTCTGAGAGGGGCGGAGGAATTGAACTCGGGTCTGCCATGTTGGCCGCGTGTAAGGCGAACGCCCCACCCGCTGTGCTATCGCTCCAGCCCATTTTGTAGTTTTTAATAAGGCTACCATAAATTGACTTGCCAGTTGTGTACACAATTTGACAAACTTATCTAAGCAGGAGAATCATGTAAATTCGTATTTCCATGATTTTTAGTGAATGAAATAGACTTTTAGATACCAAACAAAGGAAAAGGCAAGTAAAGCTATAATAGAATGGTTATTGTGAGGAAATTTTCAACAAGAACTTTTTGTGACTTAATTGCACTGTGATATATTTGGAATAGTGTGGGTTTTTTCTTCACCCATAAATTTTAGGCATTATATTTAGAATAGTTTGTAAAAGTCAAAGTTTTCCTAAGAAGCACAGAATGAATAGAGGTTTTGTTTTGCTCATGTACTTGTTCAAAGGACAGAATCTGAGTCTGAAAAGATAGCACAGTAGGTTGGGCGGCTGTCTTGCATAAGAATGGCCTGGCTTTTTTTTTTTTTTTAAATTTTTATTAGTGAAACACCATGAGGTACAGTTGTAGACTTACAAATTTTTGTGCTTGGGTTTCAGTTATACAATGATCAAATACCCATCCCTCCACCAGTGCCCATTTTCCACCACCACAGATCCCAGTATCCCTTCCACCCCTCATCCCTCCCATCCCACCCTGCCTCTGTGGCAGGGCATTCCCTTGTTCTCTCTCTCCTTTTGGGCGTTGTGGTTTGCAAGAGAGACATTGAGTGGCATTCATGTTTGGTCTGTAGTCTACTTTCAGCATGCTTCTCCCATTCTGGGAGGATCCTCCCAACACCCTTTATTTGGTGCTCCCTTCTCTCTCTGAGCTGCCTTTTCCCCTACCATGTGTGGCTGGCCTCCAAGCAATGGAGCGAAATTCCCGGTAAACCTCCAGGTACTAATCTCGGCTATTCTTGGGTATTAATCCCCTATTTTGTTACTTTATGTCCCCCAGATGAATGCAGTCTTTCTATGTCTATCCCTCTCTTTCTGACTCATTTCGCTTAGCATGATACTTTCCATATTGTAGCTCTTGTATGTAAATTTCATGACTTCATCTTTTCTAACAGCTACATAGTACTCCATTGTGTAGATGTACCAGAGTTTCTTTAACCAGTCATCTGTTCTCGGGCATTCAGGTTTTTTCCAGATTCTGGCTATTGTAAAGAGTGCTGCAATGAACAAACAAGTGCAGATGTCACTTCGACTATACTATTTTGAAGAATGACCTGGCTTTGATCCCTAGCAGCCCATGTGAGCACTGCCAGGCGTAATTCCTGAGTGCAGAGTTAGGAGTTATCCCTGGTCATCATTGGGTATGATTTAAAGAAAACCCCAAAAGACATAATCATGAAGTGAAACATTAAGGTAGAGAAGTGACAGCACTTGATACTAATTACATTCACAAAATTATATATGCAGTAGAATTAAAGAAGTTTTGATTGTTGCACTTTTGAACTATGAAACATGCCAGTTTACATATGTGGACTTAAACCCCTTCAAATCCATGAAGAGCAACATTGGGACAGAGTGGTAGTTGTCTGCCTTACATGCAGCAGACCTGGGTTCAGTGCCCCAGCACCTCGGATAATTGCACAAGCCCACTGTGAGTAATCCAAGAACACAGAGCCAGCTGAAAGTCCTGGACACCGCCACCTCATCCCCCCAAAGAAGCATGATACTGGCAATACTGTATTTAAGCGATTTGAGCACAGGGGCATAGAATCAGATGAGGAAACTTTATCTCCCCTCTTGTATTCTTAATTGTGGTGAAATGTACATAACACAAAATTTACCCATTTATCATCTTCAGCTGTAAAATTCTGTGATTGTCGGCATATTCAACCAGTGTCATTAGTATGCAGAGATTTTTTTACTTTCCAAACTAGAACTTTGTACCCATTAATTAGCAGCCCTCCTTTTCCTCCCTCTGCCATACTCCTGCCAACCACTGTTCTAGTTGTCTGTGAGTTAATGGTTTTAGTATGATGTTTGTAGCATCTTGTAGTATACAATATTTGCCCTTATTTTTTTTTTATTGAATCACCGTGAGATAGTTACAAAGTCATACAACGATTGAATACCCATCCCCCCACCAGTGCACGTTTTCCACGGCCAGTATCCCCAGTATCCCTCCCCTGCATCCCACCCTTCGCCCACCTCTATACATTTGCCCTTTGTAATTATCTCTTGGGCTGGAGCAATAGCACAGCGGGTAGGGCGTTTGCCTTGCACGTGGCCGACCCGAGTTCGATTCCTCCGCCCCTCTCAGAGAGCCTGGCAAGCTACCGAGAGTATCTCACCCGCGCGGCAGAGCCTGGCAAGCTGCCCGTGACGTATTCGATATGCCAAACACAGTAGCAACAAGTCTCACAATGGAGACGCTACTGGGCCCGCTGAAATAAATCAATGAACAACGGGAGGACAGTGCTACAATTATTTCTTAGTGTAATGTCATCCTGTAATTTCATTGCACATAATGGGAAATACATTGAGATGTATGTTTGCTTTTGGCGTTCTATAGTTTAGTAGCCATGACTGTTTAGAACATGACTAAAATTTAAGCAGAATAGATCTCAGTAGGTGTGTGCATTTGAGAAGAGCTAGCTAAGATCTGAACTTAATCTACCTTTACACGAGATTCTAGTTACATTTATGGTGGTTTTCTTTACAAATTAATACTATAGAGGCCACTTTAATAAGTGGAGGAAATTACGTGGTCTTTTTTGGGGTATTGATTTCTGTTCTTTTTTATTTACTTAATACAGAGCCTGAAGTTCTTTCCTAAAGCTCATTGATTGTTAATATATAAACTCATCAACTTTGAAAGAGTTTGCATAAAATAACTTAGATTCATAAATTGTCATTTTGCAAAATTATTTTTAACTTATAAGTTTGTTTTAGTACAAGGTGCTGCAAAACATGAAACTGTGCATTTAGTTAGAGACATGTAGTATTTTATCCATGACTCGTTCCTTTTCTTTTTGATTTTTAGCCTAAAGCAGTGACAACACCAGCACCAGCACCACCCACAGCTCAGCAGTCAAATCCCGCCACCACTACCACCACCACCACCACCACAACAGTTAGCTCCCCTGCAGCACCACCTGTGGCCCAGCCCTCAACCCCCACCTCTGCTTTAGCTCCCACTCCCACACCTGCATCCATCACTCCAGCTTCAACCACAGCATCTTCTGAACCTACATCTGCTAGTGCAACCAAGCAGGAGAAACCTGCAGAAAAACCAGCAGAAACACCAGTGGTGGCTACCACCCCAACAGCAACTGACAGGTAAGAACGAAATTCTAGGAAATAGGCTCTCAGGGTATGTTTATACCAAGAACTAAAGGTCTGTGTTGTATTTTGATTTTTGGTTTGATCTAACTGAATTTCTACAGTGTTTACCTTTTTCTGAACTGTAAGCTTGCAAACCATTTGTGTGTGCATGAATTTCTGTAATGTGGGTTAATGCCAGATGTTTACCACAGCTTCTATCTGTATTCTCTTACCCTAGGAAAGAGGTCAGAACCCTTACTCATTTTATTCTGTTATATATGTATTTTTGGTTTGGGGAATCAGTAAGTCGCCAATGGTATTCCTGGCTCTGTGCTTGGAGATTCATAACAGTGCAGGGGATTGAACCTAGGTCTTTACTCATTTTAGTTAAAATGTTAGTAAATACTTGTCAGATTTTTAAAAGGCTAGATGGGGCCAGAATAAATAGTAGTATGATGAGTAGAGTATTTTCCCAACTTTGATCCCTGACACACTTTGTGATTCCTTATATTCGCCATGTGTGATCCCTGAGAGTAGAGCCAGGAATAAGCCCTGAAGACCACAGGTAGCTGTCGCCCAAAACCCTTTCCAAACAAACAAACAATTTGTATTATGAAAAGTTTGACATTGCCTCCCTGTTAGTAGTTAATCTATAATCTTTTGTTAATGTATATTATAAAATTTCTTCCATGTCAGTTAAAAATATTTTTATTTGCTACATAACATTGTAGTTATGTAGACTCTCCTCCCCCCGCGCCTGGCTGTCCTCACCGGGGCCCCTTGGAGGAGGGCGGGTTGAGTTTCCCTCTCCACCCCGAGCAGAGCCCCGACAGCTGAAGACCTCCGGGACCCAGCCAAAGCCATGCTGAGACCACTCTCCACACGCTTGGATGAGGAACTGGCTGCGGAACCCAAGTGTACGGGACCCAGGGCTGAAATCTCCAAGCCTGCTCAGTTTAGGACTGGGCCTCCTCCACCCAGCTGCCCCACCTTCCAGTAGCTAGACAGTTACACCCACCAACTGCCTTGTAACCCCATCAATGGCCATCCAAAATCGCATGGCCGCATTCATGGCCACGTGAACTCTTATTCTCTAGTTCTCACTCTCAGAGAACCCGGCAGGTTTCTGAGAGTATCATACCCGCCTATATGCCTGACTAGGAACACCTGTAAAAGTGATTAGAGGCTGCCCCAAAAGCTACCTAGAGTATCCCGCCCGCACGGCAGAGCTTGATAAGCTACCTGTGGCGTACTCGATATGTCAGAAACAGTAACAATGAATGATCCTCATTCCCCTGATCCTGAAGGAGCCCCCAATATGTCATCGGGCTACACTTGCACTTGACAGGGACAAATGGAGACGTTACTGGGCCCGCTCGAGCGAATTGAAGAACAACGGGGTGATAGTGATAGTGAACATTGTATTGGGTCGTGAAATTTTTCACTGTTAAAGTGGGTGAAAATGGAACTCATCTAGTCGTGTTAGTATAAGAATTAAATTTGTGGAAATTTAAGCTTTGGCTTATGTAGAACTTGAAAGCAAAAAAGCAAGAATAAATTCCTTATGGAAATAATGACGATTTCCACCCCACCCCCACCAGTGATAAAATAACCAAAGCTAATGCTTCCAGTTCTCTTTGATGGAAATTTTCCAAGGGAATCCCCTCTGAGAGTGTGTTACATTGCCCAGTGTTCACTAGCACTGGCACTGTTAATATGTCATGGCTTCACTGCAGACCTCAGTGGAGTAAATGGTCTCCTTGGAATCTGACCCAGAAACAGTGGAAAACTGTAGCAATTAGAAAAGTCACGTGATGATACCATATGTTATTCATAACCAGCAATAGAAAACAAATTATCTAGTGTTGCCTTTTCAGGAGATCTGAGTGTTGGGGTAAAATCCCAAATAATGGTGGATCTGGTGTCAAAATATTGAATGTAATCAAAGTAGATAGAATAATATGAAAGTCCTCTTCCCACAGGTAGGAGGAAGGTTTTGGATGGGGGTATACTGGTTTTTGGTGGTGGAAAATGGGCACTGGTGAAGGTATGAAGGTACAGGTGGTTCATTGTATGACCAAGACTTAACCCCGAAAGCAAGTCATGTGAAGGGATGTTTTTGATATTTATAATGATGATCAGAAAGAATATTTTAGTATTCTATCTTTAAGTGTAGTACCTTTTAAGTGTATGACCCAGTCTGCCTTGGTGGAGGGTTCTAGTTGAACTAATTCATTGCTCCTTGGGGCTTCTTCATGAAGAATCAGAAAGAGGACACACAGTCCCTAATAAATCCTTTTGGAGTTGGAGAGATAGTACAGCAGGTAAGGTGCTTGCCTTGAGTGCACCTGACCCGGGCTCAATCCCAGGCATTCCATATGTTTCTCAAACACTCCAGGAGTAGTTCCTGAGTTACTCCAGAGCCAGGAGTTACCCCTGAGAGTTGTTGACTGTGAACCCCAGAAATTAATAAATAAATTCTTTAAACTTGTCTTAGGTGTGACTTGACTAGTCTGAGATCCCAGAAGCATAAATAGGCAGCAGTATCTCAGAAGTAGCAGCACATGCTGGTGAGATTTACCAGCAAATCTCACTTGCCTGGTAGTAGTGTTAAACTAATTCAGCCGAAATGAGATAACCCAAAGTCCGGATCAGTTATTTCTAAAGGCTGTTGGTTAATTCTGTATGGCAAGGGATCTTACCAGTTCAACAAACGCCCTACCTGTTGTGCTACTTCTTCAGCCCCTGTTTACCTATTAAAGAGCTAGGCTTGCCTGTACAAACTTAATTGAAGTTGCATTGAGTCGATAGTCAGCGATCCTATAGCCTAGATGCCAAGAGTTCCTTGCTTAGTAGGGCTTCATACATGCACTATTTATTCTTCTTCGAACTATACACCTTAATGAAATACAGCCCAGAGAGTGACGAATGGAGCAGCTCTTTTTTTGAGTTGTAAAACACTTGCATTGCCCTTTAAAGCACAGAATTTAGAGTAATGATACGTATCCGGAGATAAGCAGTATGAATTTGAGGCTGGCCCTTGCTGTTGGTCTGACATTTCATTACTAAGAGTTTGTTTGTCCAGGTCAGTTTTATTCTTGGAAAACCATTTTATTATGATACAAACCCCCCATGTTCTCTTGTGTAAAATGACTGATATTTGTAATTGAGGAAAATAGAAGAGACAACCTGAATTTCCAAGCAGAGTAATTTTCCCCGAGATTGACTCATTTTAAAGAACAGTGCTACTGAGATTGTGGTAATCAGCAGTAACATCTATGGAGGGTTGTTTGAAAGCCCCGACCTCTAGGACGAATCCCAGAAAAGAATTTTAACAAGTTCTCCTGCTGAATCCTTACGATTCCTAAAGTTTGAGAAACCGTGTCCAATTCCAGAGGCACTAAACTGATTCAGAAGGTCAGTAGTAGCCTCGGGTGCAACTACAGAGTGCTTTCTGTTCACTTAACGTAGATCTCCAGCATGCTGAGTGCTTCTTCTGAAAGAGGATGTAGGGCAAATTAGTTTGGGAACTACTGGTCAAATGTATGCACTTGTTTTTCTAACACGAGGTGCTGGAGATCAGATCTAGGTTTTATATCCTTTTATATGCTTTAAGCCACATCTGGACCTCAATGAATGAATCCTCTATAAATGGATGTTTCAAAGTCTTACTACTACATGGAAAAGGCAGAACAACATAAATGTATTCAGGGTAAAATTGCCAAGTAATAAAGGCAATAACAATAAACCGAGCAGAATCCCAAAGCAACAATGTTTATCTCCAGTGCAGTGCTGTCAGTGTAGAGGAAAGCAGGACGAAAGGGATGACACTTGTAAGCAGTTTTCTCTGTTTGGGGAGGGGGAGATAAAGCTAGATTGAGATTGAGGAATGGTGCTTAAATAGTACCCGAATCTTCATGTTCAACAGTAAATTTTAAAGTGATTATGAAAATACTGATTGCTAGATAAAAAAATAGTAGTGAGGGAGACTGGGCCCTAACAGATTCAAAAGTATTTTAAGCATGATACTGAATAGGAATGATTAGTATGGTTCCTATTAGGAAGACTGCTCAATGAAGTATATACGGGAATGTAACCTAAAGTAAAGGTGATTTAAGGTAATTTGTACCATACGGTAATTTCAAATCATCGGACACGGGGAACTGCTTTTTTGGATAAATGCTTAGTGGATCGAAGTGGGGGAGTTAGACCTTCTCGTGCCTTATATTCATAAAAGTGAACTCTAGATAAATATTTTAATGTAAACGTGAAACTGTAGAGGAGAACATAGGGTGGAAATGATAACCGGGGAAATTCTTTTCTGTATATGAATTTCTGAATTTGGGGAATTCATATAAAGAAAAGAATTTCCCAAAATTCAGAAATTTGTGATAATTATTAATCCTTAACTCTGAAGATGTGGATAAGAGTGTTATTTTATATCTTTGGGCATTTAAGAAATGAATGTTCAGGGAGCTGGAGAGAAAGTGTAGTAGGCACTTGCCTTGCACACAGCTGACCCAGGTTCAATCTCCAGCAACACAAACATTATCCTCTATCCTCGGCCCCCTTTCCAGGAGTGATACCTGGAAAGGGATGCCCACAGAAACCAGCAGTAAATACTGAGCACAGCTGGTGGGTATGTCCCAGCTCTCTTTCTCCTCCCTTCCCACACAGCCCTCAAATGTGAATTTGCAGAATAGATTGAGCTTTAAGATTGGAAGGTCAGGCAAAGTCATGACTCTTATGGATAAAACTTTGGAGTTTAATTTAGAACATCTTTTGCCAGACTTTCACATTTCATTAAAGTGAAGAAAAAATCTCTTTGTAAATTTCACAGCTCCTGAGCTTTAATGTAATACTTTCTGATATATTGTTTTCTAAAAATCTTTACAGTACATCAGGAGATTCTTCTAGGTCAAACCTCTTTGAAGATGCAACAAGTGCACTTGGTAAGTATCTCCAGGGTAAATAGCCTTATAAAAGGAAGGGAAGAGGTTTAAGATTTGTTTTTCTAATAGGATAATTTTCATGGTTCTTCTAGTCAAGTTGCTAAATGATTTAAAGATTAATTTTTTTAGTGAATGATTTTTATTTTAATCCTTTAAATTTACTTCGAGAGTTAGGCATATGCCTCTCATTAAAGTAAATACTTTTTGTGTTGATTTGTCATAGTATCTTTGGAATGGGTATAAAATGTCACCCCAGATGCCTCATATTTTAGATATTTCATTTCATTTCCAGCCTTTATTCTACTTTTTAGCCTTATAGGGTTCCAGTTTCATCCTGTTTTTTTTATTGTACTTGAAATGAGTATACCGTCTTATCTCAACTTTTACACCAATCTGTCAGAAGTAATTTTGGTTATTTCCTCATTAAGACATTTCTACTGTTCCTGCTGTGCTTCTAATTATTTGTCTGTTGGCTGACAACTCTGTTTCTTCCCTTTGGAACTCTCCTATGTTATTGGAAATGGTGGCAGGGTGGAAAGGAGCAGGGGAATCGCAGCTTCAAAGAAGTCTTCTGGAGTCCTGTTTGCTACTATAGCAGCAGAGTTCTAACAGCAACTGTACCTCCTCAGGTTTGGGGTTGGTCTTCTTTCCCCGCTTGATTTGAATGTCTAGGTGCCCATTGCGTGGAAAAGTATTTTACTGGTTGCCCTCAAAAACCAGTAATGGCAGAGTAGTTGTTGAATAATGGAGCTTATATTGCCAGCATGTTTCAAACTCTGTTCACATGCATGACTATTTTCTGGAGCAGCTCAGCTGCAAAATGAGCAGGAGTGAGTGCCTCCGTCAGGAAGTCTTAACCATTTGATTTTAACTGAGAAAGGGTTTAGGCAGTCCTAGGCATCTGTTACGAAGATGCTGGAAGGGCTCAGGAATACACCAAAGCCCTTTCGTAGCTGCTGCTGCTCCACCTGAATCCTTGATGGCACTTGACTGTCACATCTTCTGTCTCCCAGAGCAACCACGAACTTTATGGTCCCCGGACCCCTAAGGTTTTACGCATTCTTCATCCCATGTTTATCTCCCATATTTATCTTGATGCCTTCTCTAAACTTTGCCTTTTTTGTCTTCTTGATACCATTCTTTCCTTGATTAATATTTCTGACAATTTCTTCTTAGACTTTCTAGGTTTTTTTTTTTTTTTAATTTTAACTGAGTGTCAGTGCGTGTTAAGGGGTCGGGGCGGGTTGTGATTCTGCTCTGGGCCCAAACTCAGAAGTTCAAACTGGGGGCTGGAGTGATAGCGCAGGGGTAGGGCGTTTGCCTTGCACACAGCTGACCCAGGTTCGATCCCCAGCATCCCATATGGTCCCCCGAGCACCTCCAGGAGTAACTCCTGAGTGCAGAGCCAGGAGTATCCCCTGTGCATTGCTGGGTGAGACCCACAAAGCAAAAAAAAAAAAAAGTTCAAACTATAAGAATGAGAGATACTGCATATATCCGTTGTGGATTCCCAAAATTTCTATACACATTTTCCTCTGAACTCCTAGTCTTTTTTTTTTTTTTTCTTTTTGGATCACACCCGGTGTTGCTTAGGGGTGCACTCAGGAATTACTCCTGGCAGTGCTCAGGGGACCATTTGAAATGCCAGAGATTGAACTGGGGTCAGCTGCATGCAAGGTAAATGCCCTAACCCACTGTACTATCACTGCAGCCCCTCCCAGTCATAATTGTTTTATTTTATTTTTATTTGCTCTTTTTTTTTTTTTCTGGGCTTAAAACCCAGGGCATCACACATACAGGGCTTGTACTTGACTGCTAAACTATGTCTCCAGATCCCCAGGCTGTTTTTGTTGTTTTTCCCTCTTCCCGGTTTTGCTCTTGCTGCTGTGCCCAGGTTTCACACTCTTGCTTCCTTGTGCTTGCATTTACTCGGTTGCCATCCGCTGGAGATCACAAACTCCAGCGGTGTTGAGAATTCCAGGCAGCCGCCGCTGCTTCTGTCATGCCCGGCATGTGCGGTGGTTCCAGGCATCCAGCTCTAGTGCCTCTCAGCTGCAGGTATCTGCTCTCCCGCAGAGCTATCCCCGAGTCCTAGCCGCGCTCCTTCCACACCTCCCCTTTTTTCTTACTGAATCACTGTGGGATGCACGGTAAACACAGTTGGTCATAATTGGGTTTCACTCGTACAACGCTCTTCTTTTAGGCATTGTGGTTTGCAGTACTGGTATTGAATGGTTATCAGGTAACATCATTTTACCTGCTTTCAGCACTCAGTTTTTGCCAGATTCATTCTGTAAGCCATCAGCTGCAATACTTGGAACTTCCACAGATTTCTCAAGATCAGTATTGACTCGCCTTTCATTATCTCTGTGTCTTCTCTGTTCTTACTTCCTGGCATCATCTTCATCTTTCATCCTCTACTCAAGCATCCTTGACCCTCTGCCTCCCTGAACGCAATGAGCCCGTGAGTCTTACTGATCCTCTTTTTAATATCTCTGAAATATTTTATTTCCATGACACTTCATTTCCTTAATGTTCTTCAGCCGTTGATACTTTTGCGTTATCTCCTTGAACTGTTCTCTTCCCTACCCTTAACAATTTTCTAGAAGGCAGGTTGATTGAAGCACTTTCTTCTCATGGAATGAAAGAGAAGTCTGAGCTTTATTTCTGGTGACATTTGTAGGTTGCTCATCACTAGCTACTACAAGTTCCTCATCACTGCTACCAGTGTCCTTTTGTATTAGGAAAAACAAAAGATTGTTTTGAATAATAAAGCAATACATCTCTGAAACTGTAATATACTAAGAACCAGAGTGTACATAAACTGGCTGTCAGAGTATGTTGTAATGTTATATAAAGGCCTGGGATAGTTGATGGTACGGCTGGTGAAGCAAAGTCTAGATCGTTGTGACTGAAGTTTGTTGTGTGTAGAGGATTGTCAAAGGCTGAGAGACTGAGATAGAGTGGGGTGGGATGCCGGGGCGGGGGGGGGGGGGGTGTTGTTTAACTTATATTTGCAACAGCCTGTAGGCTTGGGAGTCAGGAAGGTGCAAGCCGTGTTGTGATTTGATTTTGAGTGAAGGCCGTAGAGAAGAAGGCACCAGATTGGTCTAGGGTGTCATTTAGAGGAAGAGCTTGTGAGATGTAAAAAGAGGGAAGAGGGATTGAAATCACTGATGTTCAAGTTTAGTTAGTAGGATAGAAGTTCTTCTATTGAAAAGTGAATTGTGCTGTGATGCATTTGGAGGGAAATTCTTTAGAGGTTCAGAGGGGCAACGCTATTGTCACTTAGGAGAGTTTGACCTGAAAAGGGGGAAAAATATCAAAATCATGTGCAAGGAAAAGAACCACTTATTTCTGAAAGGACTTGAAGTATATTTATTTGCTATTAGCACGACATAATAGGGCATAGTTAACAAGTGATCAGAATAAATTACCGTAGAAGATGAGCAAGAGAGAAGATAGCTAAATGGTCCAAATTTTTATTTTGTCAGAAAGGAACTAGTACTTATAATAGGAGTGGAATAAAGGTGGTATATGTGAGGTCAGTTTGGGGAGAGAAGGAATTATTATTATTATTATTATTATTATTATTATTATTATTAGTGAAACACCATGAGGTACAGTTGTAGACTTACAAATTTTTGTGCTTGGATTTCAGTTATACAATGATCAAGTGCCCATCCCTCCACCAGTGCCCATTTTCCACTACCATGGGTCCCAGTATCCCTCTCACACCCCACCCCACCCCCATCCCCCCTCCCCCCATCCCACCCTTCCTCTGTGGCAGGGCATTCCCTTTTGTTCTCTCTCTCTTTTTGGGTCCAGTGGTTTGCAAAAGAGGCATTGAGTGGCAATCATGTTCGGTCTATAGTCTACTTTCAGCATGCATCCCCCATCCTGGGAGGATCCTCCCAACACCCTTTATTTGGTGCTCCCTGAGAGAAGGAATTTTACTTTCTTTCCATCTCAGTATTTTCTATTGTCTGTTGTCCAGGTTTCCATGAGCAGCAAGCACATAGAGTTGAGAAAAGGGTGGAGACTATAGGGTAACCGTGCTTACCAGCTTTTGTGGTTATATGAATTTCTACCTGCTAACCACCTCCCCTCCTGTCCCCACTGCTTTGAAAATAAAAGGCACCAAAGGAAAACTGAATTTGTTTACAGCAGAGTTAACTATTTGAAATATCCACCCTATTTGCTTTCAGAAATGAATTCTTCTACGGTCTTGTTATATCCTGTTATATTTGTGCTCCATTTATACTAGACTTTTTGTCTGCTATTGAACTTCCTGTATTAGTTTTCTTTTGCATAAAATACCACAAACTTAGTGATTCAAAGTAACACCAATTTTTTCCCTAATGGTACTAATGACATAGCTCACTAGAGAAAAATTGGGCACATAAACTAGGGAAGATTTGTTTTCTGGTTTTTTCAGTTCTAGGAACTTACATTCTTGGGTCAAAGCCCCTTCCTTTGTCATCAAAGGCAGAGTAGCATCTCTGAACCACACTCTGTCCTTTCTACCGTAGAGTTATTTCTCTGATGGTCTCATCTCCATCCCTCCTACTTTTCTCTTTCAAAGTCAGCTGTTTAGCAACCTTATTTGCCTCCTGTAAACTTAGATATTTGTAGATTTTAAGAATTGGCATAGAAATCAGATTTGAGGGTATTATTTTGCCTGCCACTTTATGTATTATGGTTCAAATGCTGTTCTTCATCTTTGTATTCCCAGTTGTCTACTCCGTGAAACATTATATACATATATACAGGAGGAGACCATTTATTCATTAATGTTCCTTTTCTCTCCTGTCCCACACATCCTCTTTTAGTGACAGGTCAGTCTTACGAGAATATGGTGACTGAGATCATGTCAATGGGTTATGAACGAGAGCAAGTGATTGCAGCCCTGAGAGCCAGTTTCAACAATCCTGACAGAGCAGTGGAATATCTCTTAATGGTGAGAAATATTTATTTATTACTTTATTCTAGTTAAGACCAGAATCTCAAAGCTTTCAAAGAAAAAGTAATCACTGGAAGGGGGGGGGACTATATAAAATAATTTGCATGATACTTTTTAATAGCACTTTAACTGTATTGATAAAATAAATTATAAAGTTGATCGTCCACTTGGGAGTTGTACCTTCAGCTCTAATTATATCCTCATTAGAGGATGAAAGGGGGTGGGGGGCGGGCAGTTGCAGATTTTTAATTCCCAGTATAATCCAACATTTTACTAATGTAATTAACGGCAGCTTTTAAAAATGGGAGTGTTCACCTAAAAATTCAGATATCAGGGCCAGAGAGATAGTGTAGAGTGCATACTGCAGACTTCCACAGCATCATATACGGGTTCCTGGGCACAGCTGGGTGTCATCGAAAAAACAAAAGTCAGATACCCAGTTTATCAGGATGATTCAAATCCTAGGTCTTCACTAGGACTTAGAAGACCTTTTAGATCCTAAGATTTTTTGCCCGCTTTTGCCTGATTTTATTATTCATTTTCATGTTAGCTTATATATCATTAGTAGTCAGGGAAATTTTAAATATGTTATTGTGGGCATGGACTGAACTACTTTATCATAAAGAACTTATCAACTTATCACAGACCAAAATAACAGCATAGAGTTTGTTGTTGTTGTTTTGCTTTTTGCTTTTTTGGGTCACACCCAGCGATGTTCAGGGGTTACTCCTGACTCTGCACTCAGGAATTACTCCTCGGGGAACCATCTGGGATGCTGGGAATCGAACCCGGGTTTCCCCTTGCAAGACAAACTCCCTACCTGCTGTGCTATCACTCCAGCCCAACAACATAGTTTTATAGCAACATCAGATTAACACTTATTTATTTTTTATTTTAATGTAGGAATATTGCTATTCATTCAGCCATTGATTAGGCTGATAGAATTGGACATGAACTCCACAGATTAACATTTTTTTAGTCTTAACTTTTTTTCTATAATTCTTTGGTGTCTTGGAGTATTTCCAAATCTGAACTGCACTAAGTAACCCTTTAGAAAGGCAGAATAATCACTCTTGGTGACTGGCGTCCATGGCCTTTTTTGGTTGTTAGGATAACCTTTTCAGAACTAATGGTTAAGAGTCAAGATCATCATCAAGTAAATAGCCCCTCTGTCTTCACCAGTTACTTGCTGCTCATTTGCATATGAGATTCACGAGAACTGTTTTCTCACCATGTTATTTTATCCTTTGAATTCTCTTTCATTGCCCCCTTGAGAAAAGTCTTTAAATACTAACAGTGCAGGCAAGGTAGTACAGTGGGTAGAGCGCTTGCCTTGCACACAGGTGGCCCAAGTTCAGTCCTTAGCACCACCAGGAGTTATCTATGAGTGCAGAGTCAGGAGTAAGCCCCTGAGCACTGTCAGGATTGGGCCCAAAAACCAAAATAATAAATAAGCAATTTATCAGTTAGGAATTAAATAAAGAATTACTGTTGATCTGTTTATGGTCCTCTTCCACTCTACTCTCCCCCAACCACCACTCCCGCCCAAAAAAAAAGAAAAAAAGAGAAAACTATTACCTTCTTTTATAAAATGGTCTTAATTTATGCATTGTTCAGAGTTCTGTTATAAGTTTGACAGAATAGATTTCAGCATCCTTGTATGCTTTGTGTGTTTTGGATGTTGCCTATTGATTGGAAAATAAAGTAGCATTTACCATCTCAGATGTAGTATTTCCATCATTCTTCACAAGTCTCTTAAGTCTTATAATGACTTGTTATAAGTTGTATATAAGTTTAGTCATTTGCTTAAAGCAAAATATGTTTAGTGCGTTACCTAAATAGTGGTTTGTTTTAAAATTTGTTGTGTAATTTTTGCATTATTGATTTTATTTCTTTATTTTTCTACACTTTCTGGATAAAACTATTTCCAGGGGTTATGCTGTGTGAATCAGAAACTTTCGGTGATTTTAAGGTTTGAGTTACAAATAAGATCCTTTGTATCATTAAACAATACCTAATGATGGAAATTATCTAGAGCTCAGAACTCTACACACTAGAGCAATAGGGTATCATAAAAACCAGACATGTCCAGTTTTGACAATTTGTATCTCATATCTTAAAATTTCAAATGATGAGGCTTTCAAATAATCAGCTTTAAGAATCTTGCCTGATACTTTAGTTAGATGTAGCATGTATTTCTTAACATTACCACATTTTAAATTCTCATTAGTTAGATGTGGCTATTGGGTGTTTTATTGGATGGTGCTTCCTTATAACCATATAGGCTTTCTCTGCCACGTTGTAACTATTTCTAATCAGGTTTGCAGATGATGGTGTTCTGTGGCAATGCCTTGATCCCTCTCATTTAATCGAATAATTGAATCAAACATCTGATGCTTTTTGAAATTAGTGTGTTAACAGATTAATAAATGTTGTACCCTAACTTTTAACGATGGGATATTTTAAAACTTGGGAATTGTGTTGTAGGGAATCCCTGGAGATAGAGAAAGCCAGGCTGTGGTTGACCCCGCTCCGGCAGCGAGTACTGTGGCTCCTCAGTCTTCAGTGGCTGCAGCTGCAGCAACTACAACGGCAACGACTACAACATCAAGTTCTGGAGGTAGAAGGGAATCTTCTGCATGGGGAGGAAATGAATTTGGCCTGGATTGGTAGTATAAAATAATTTAACCTGAAATATTGCTAAGGAAAGGTTTCTTCCCAAAAGCATTTAGGTTAAAACTATTCGTCGGTGTTAGACGAAAACCCCTATAGAAAAAAATGCCAACAAAAGATACACCTTTGTTTATATTAAATGTCATCGCTGCAGTTTGGCCAAAGAGAGTATTCTGGTTTGCTTACTGTAAGGGTAAATGAGTCTTGCTTTGAATTTGCTTTCCTCTTTCTTTGTCCTACAAATGTAATAAAAAATCTAGAAATTCAAAGCCAAGTAGGGCCCTACTAATTATTATAAAGCCAAGAAAAGGTCGATTTCCTTGGTTGAGAAAGAAAAGTATCTAGGGCTGGGGAAGTACAAGTGAGTGAGATATAATGGTTTATCCAGGTTTGATCCCTGGCTTCCCGTATGGTCCCCCAAGCCCACCAGGAGTGATTGCTGAGTGCAGAGCCAGGAGTCACCCCTGAGCACCCCCAAGTGTGGCCCAAAAGCAAAAAGAGAAAGAAGAGAGTATGTTTGGAGTTAAGGCACAATCTCTTGCTTGCTAGCATCAAACTTCATTGCCCAACACTTGACCAGGGAGCAATGCTTGGAACAAAGCTTGGAGCCTGTAGAAGGCACAGGCATTGTGTAGCATTCTTCTTATGCTTTATTCTGCATATTGACAAGTAGTTTAAGCTGTTAGCTTTGAAAGACCGTTTTTGGGTGTATTCCCTAGCTCCACTATGGTGATTAATGGACAAAAATCCCCAGGCATTTTGATTATTCTCCCAAGGACACTTTCCATTTCTGAAGATTCAGCCTGGGAGTGGGGAAAAGGCCCTGCTTTGGTTCAGTTTTAGGATGCTGTCCTGTTCACCCCATCTTATTGAATGACTTTGTTCTCAGTTTCATTTTTTTCATCTATAAAAGTAATGCTACATGAGGACATTTTTTAGAAAATTTTATTACCTCTGCTACATAGCTATTTTAATATAAAGGATTTGTGTAATTTAGACCATGATAACTACATCAAAAAATTAATTTGCGTGTAATTTTTGGTTTGCCAAAGCATAATTAAACAGGCACTGCTACCCCAAAGTCATGTTACAGTTAATACCTTTTTTGGCATTAATGCTCTTAAAGGTGATTGTGGTCTAAAGGGCTCTAAATGAATTTAGATACTGAATTTAAGAATCCTCAATTATTTAGAATTAATCCAGTAATTTTTTAGTATTGGATTTCTTGCAATTTACTTAACCTCAAGTTTTTGTGAATCCAAATATATGAAATTTGAAATACTTGGAGTGACAATAATAAAAAATCATCTATATATTTAATAAGAATTCTGATCTGTAAACCTGAACTCTGAGGTATTAAATTCTCCCACTGGTTTAGAATTTCCCAGGAATTCAAGTCAATAAGGTTGAATTGAAATTGGGGGTTTGGTTTGGTTTGGTTTGGTTTGGTTTGGTTTGGTTTGGTTTGGTTTGGTTTTAGGGCCACTCCTGGCAGTGCTCATGGGAACCATTTGGGATGCCAGGGATCAAACCCAGGTGGCCACGTACAAGACAAGTGTCCTCAAACTCAGATTGTTTTCTTTGATAAATTAGTTGTATTATAGAGTAAATTTTTACTTTTTCATATCATCTGTTTTACCTAGATACTTTTTGTGTGTTTTGGGTAATTGACCTGGTGGTTTTCAGGGCTTACTCCTGGCTCTGGGCTCAGGGATCACTCCTGGCATTACTTGGGATCCAAATGTGTTTCCTGGGCTCAAACCTATTTCAGGCACCTTACAAGTTCCCAGAGCAGTTGTAGGAAAATTTTAGTAATATTAAATCTCTTGTATTCTCCACTCGGCTTAATGATAGCATTAATTTCTACAGTATAAAACTTGTAAGTTGGTACAGGTTGAAGATTTTGTCGTTTTTGATTTCATCTTATAGATAACTTAGAAGTCAAGTGACTTCTACTTACAAGTGTTTACTATAGAAATTATGATTGAGGACCAGAGAGATAAGTCTTAGGGTCAAAGTTTTTCAGTCCCTGAACCTCAGCACCAAGCAGTAGTCTCGAGCACAAGGCCTGACTCCCTCAACCCAAAAGTAAATAAATTTTATGAGAATATATGTGTGTATGCATAGTGACTGAAGGAGCTCTTTGTATTTGCAATTTGAATTTTTGTTTTAAAATATGTATGTTTTAGGTCATCCCCTTGAATTTTTACGGAATCAGCCTCAGTTTCAACAGATGAGACAAATTATTCAACAGAATCCTTCCCTGCTTCCAGCTTTGCTACAACAGATAGGCCGAGAAAATCCTCAATTATTGCAGGTAACTATTCGTTCGTGTTAACTTCAGAAGTCTGTTTAGTGTTTATTACATTTTGTGAAAGCCCATAAACTCACCCTGTACCCCAGCCTTCTTTCCCCTCAGCTCCATGACAATTCTTACAACCTACACTTGCGATATGGCACACTGAAAAAAGAGTCAGGAACTGAAATTGTGGTTAATTTGTCACAGAAGTTTAGAAGACACCACTAAAGAGACTGTAATTTTTTTAAAGCTTTTCCCACTAAACTTAAAATTGGGAGTACTGCCTCTAGAAAATATAGCCATGAACTAACTAAAAGCTCAGTTCATGAAATATTTGGGTTATATATAACACTGCTGCTCACTATTGTGGAAGGGTTGTATATGTGTAGTGCTGATACTTCAGTAATATACAAGAAATCACATCTTTCCAAAAGACTGAAAAGTCTGGACTCTTACTAAAATATTACATAAGTACAATTTTATCTTGTTTCAGAATTCTTTTCTGAGGATACTTTGTGTCAATATTTTTTTTAATATTTTTTTCTGTCCTTCAAATCACCACAGCAAATTAGTCAACATCAGGAGCATTTTATTCAGATGTTAAATGAACCTGTTCAAGAAGCTGGTGGTCAAGGAGGAGGAAGTGGAAGTGGCAGTGCAGGAATTGCTGAAGCTGGAAGTGGTCATATGAATTACATTCAAGTAACACCTCAGGAAAAAGAAGCTATAGAAAGGGTAAGCATAAGTCAAGGTAAAACTTGAGTGCTGGGCCCAGAGTACAATGGGTGGGGCACTTGCCTTGCACACGGCCAACCTGGGTTCTATCCCCAGCGCCGCTTATTGTTCCCAAGCCCACCAGGAGTTATTCCTGAGCTTAGAGCCAGGAGTAATCCCTGAGCACCACCAAATGTGTCCTCCACACCCCCCCCCCCCCCCAAAAAAAAACCTAAATAAATAAAATTTGAGTTCCTTAGTCACACTGGCATTTCAAACCTGGTAGTTTGATTGCAGTGAGACAGTCTCTTCTCAGTTCAACAATTTCAGCAGCTTTTTTTTTTTTATATATAAGTGCCAGTGAAGTGAGCCTAAATATGTTAAGTGTAAATACCATCATGAGGTCAGCTCAACATTAATTGCTATTTTAAAATTCAAGTAGGGAGGGCCAGAAAGAGAGTACAATGGGTAGGGCTCTTGCTTTGCATGTGGTGGATCCAAGTTTGATCCCCAGCAGCCTGTATGGTACCCAACCCCTGCCAGGTGTACACCCCACCCCCCCAAAAAAATTCAAGGAGGTAAAAAAGTAATCTTGAAGTATATGCCTAGTTCAGCATTATTCACTTCTAAAATTCTTACTTCAATTTTTTCTACACTACCATCACTAAAATATAAATTGGTTAATGTGTACAATTAGAATCAGAACCTGATGTCATAATTATTGTGCGGGGCGGGGGGCACACCTTGTGCCTTGTGATGTTGGCGACTACTCCTGACTCTGCGTAGAGGTTATTCCTTGCAGTCCTCAGGACTGTGCAGTGCCAGGGATTTTTCCGGCCTCCTGCATGTAAAGCATGCTCTCAGCTTTTGAGTGCTCTCTCTGTTACCTACTATTTGTATCTTGGGCCAACCTTACATACTTTCCTAGAATAAGCCCCATTAGTCACGATGTCCTCTAGTATACCACAATAAATCGTGATGCATAATTCTTTTTCTGTATTGGATTTAGTCTGCTGCTAGTGGTGCTTGGAGAGCCGTGTGCTGCTGAGGATGGAACCTGGGCCTCTTTCATGCAAAATATGTGCAGCTATTTCTTCAACTCCTGGCTTACAAAGTCACTTTTATGTTCATAATCCTGGGTCCAAGGAATGAGTTGGGATGTATTCCTTTCTCTTGTTTGAAAGAGCTAATGAAGAGCTGCCACTTTCTGTAAATGTCTACTAGAAATGGTGAATCTCTCTCGGTCCAACCTTTGTTTTTGGGGGGGGTGTTGTTAGGAATAATTCTTTCTCCTTGTATATTTAGGATTATTCGGATACTCTGCTGCTGCTGGAATCTGTCAGTTGGCTTGATTTGTCACTCTTGATTTTTCAAAACCAAGTTTTGGTGTTGTCAATTTTTCTGGTCTTACATTATTTCCCTCTGTGCTTTTAATTTTGTTTCCTCTTCGTTTCAGTTTCTCAGTGTGGCAGTTAGGTTGCTAGTTTGAGAACTTTCATAATACAGATGTTTTTAGCCATTTGCTTCCTTTCAGGCAATGCCACAGAAACCCCTAAGTTTTAGCACATTGTAATTAAGTATTTTCTAATTATATTTCTACTTCTTTGATTCATTGGTTATTTAGTTATTAGGATTGAATTCCGTGTTTATCAGTTTCCTAAGTTTCCTTCTGTTACTTACTTTCTTGTTCTGTTTATGATTCTGGGCCATACCTGGTGAAAATTGGGCCTTACTCTTGGCTCTGCACTCAGAGATCACGCCACCGGATGGGGTGCCGGACAGTGAGCCTGGTTGGCTGCATTTGTGAAGCGAGTGGCTGGCCTCCTGTCCTTTCTCTGCAGACCTCCTTGTATTGATTTTTAAGTTCATTTCATTGGTCAGAATATATTTTGTATGATTTTAATCTTTACCAATCTATTGGGACTTGCAACATAACATTTGTCTTTCTGGAGAATGTTCCACATACTGAGAAGGCTGTTTGTATGCCTTTTTTTTTTTTTATCTTTTTACTTTCAGCATATGTGTGTCTTTGACTCTAAATTACATGTTTTATAGATGCACATATTTGGATTGTGCCATGTCTATGTTTTACTTTAACACTACTTTAATTTGGATAAGATCTAGAAAACAAAATAATCTTCCAGCATCTTTTATGGATGAATGGTTGAATGTTGAATTGGAATTTTGCCCAGTATTTTAAGGTCATTTCTTCATATAGTCTAATGCAAGGTGATTTTTATTTTACAAATAATAAAGTGAAATAGTTAACCTCTTGGTTGCTCTTGACCAGGTCCTTTCCCTTCTCTGAGCCAGTTGATTCACATGTTTCTGTTTATTTAAATCAATGTTTTAGTGTTGTTGCCAATCATTGTTAGCAAAGAATTTTGTAGGTGATTGTAGAAGAAAAGGGTGAAGATTTCCTCTAGTCCCATTTTGATTCATTGGCTATCCACATTTTAAAGGGTAAAGATGAGGCTGGAGAAACAGTACAGTGGGTATGGTGTGTATCTTGCAAGCGGCTGATCTGGGTTTAGTTCCTGGCACTGGATATAGGCCAGGAGTGATTACTGAGTGCGTCACCAAGAGTTAGTTAGCCCTGGGTACCACAACAGGTATAGTCTAAAAACCAAAAAGTGAAATATAATGGGCGAAACAAGCGAAGTTTGTATGTAAAGATTGGAGAACTTTGTCTTTTTTTAATCATAACTTTTCAAGTGTTGATTAGCCAGTAGTGCTGGGATGTAACCCTTAATTTTTTTTCTTTTTTCTAGTTAAAGGCATTAGGATTTCCTGAAGGACTTGTGATACAAGCATATTTTGCTTGTGAGAAGAATGAGAACTTGGCTGCCAATTTTCTTCTACAGCAAAACTTTGATGAAGATTGAAAGGAACTCTTTTTTTAAATCTCACACTTCACACCAGTGCATTACACTAACTTTGTTCACTGGATTGACTGGGATGACTTGGGCTCATATCCACAATACTTGGTATAAGGTAGTTGATTGTTGGGGGTGGGAGGGAGGGATCTAGGATATAGGGCAGGGATAAATACAGTGCATGTCTGCTTTCAATTAGCAGGTGCCGCAAATCCACACAGTGTGTAAAATATTATACAACCAAAAATCAGCTTTTGCAGGTCTTTTATTTCTTCTGTAAAACAGTAGGTAACTTTTCCTAGGTTTTACTCTTTTTAGTGTACTAGATCCAGAAATTTAGTGTAATGCCCTGCTTTATATTTCTTTGGCTTAACATTGGTTTCAGAAAGAATCTTTGCTCTCTAGAATCCACAATCTATTCCATGGCAACACTGGATAATGGTTTTATGAATTTCAAAAAAAATTTTTTTGAAGCAACTATAAACAGAAATGCCAAATTATTAATGGTTATTGTTGCTGCTTCAAATAAGTATAAAGTAAACATATAAGGAATCCCATTCTTTCATGTTAAGTACTGGGTGGGCTGGGGTGGGGAACAGAACTTCTCTTAAAATGAAAATAACTGCTATTTTAAAATTTCTTGATCGCTGAATGTGAGGCCCTTCTAACATGATTTGAGAAGCTGTACAAGCATAGGCAGACTTACTTTCCTGTTTACATTTTTGTAGTTTGTTTTGGGGGTGAAAATGGTAGGTGTCTAATTACTGTTTACTTCATGGTTACATTGCAGTAAAGTTTTAAACACCATTGCATGTTTGCTTTTGATGTATCCCTTTGTGAAATGAGCACTTTGGGGCCAATAGAGAAATGCAACATCTGTCCTCCCTTTCTTCCCCTTCCCTCAGCAGGAATGTGTTGGTCAGCAAATTGTGAGTTCAAACTGCTGCCCCTTTTTTAAAAACCCGCAAAATGCTGATTCTGTTCAAAATTAATGCGAATGTTTCAAATTGGGTTTTTGATATTTGTAAATGTTTTTCCTTATGGTAAGACTGTATGACCATTAAGTCATTAGGATTATATTGCTCTTAAAAAGAGATGGTGGACAGAATGATAAGCCAGATACTGCGTTGGAAAGAATGGTGACGTCTTTTGGAAGGTTTGGTAAATGCAGCTGAAAAAGTACTTTGGAAAATATACAATCAAGATATCTCATGGCATATTAAAAGAAAACTCTGAATAGCAGTGTTGACTTTTACTTGGATATATTTTTTTTCATCTCAGCTTTTTCTTTGGAATTTCATTCATTGGCTTTGTTATTTGATCATGGGGGTTGGGGTAGAAGTCTACCTGTTCAGTTTGTCAAGTCTATTTTCCTGAATATAAAGAAGAATGTTTAAAGAAATAGTACTGTTTTCCCTATTATTTGTAATGAATTTGCACAGATATCTTCCTAAAAATCTCTTGCAATGATCCTTAGTTTAATGATAACCTTTAACCTTTTACATCATACACTATAACTTCTTTCATGAAAATTGATGACTTCTCATCACTCTGTTTTCATTTAGTTTATAATCTTCATGTGTTTATTCCATAAGTGTGACAGGCCTTTGGACTTTGTATTACCTGTGTGTTTTATAACAAATCATGCAAACTGTCTCAGGAGAATAAAACGAGGATTGATAAATGCATTCATTTTTCAAGACAGTGATGAGTTGGGAAGATGTGTTGTGCTTGGATAATGGAGTACTCGCTTATTTTATGCTATTGTGTGTGCTCCCTAATTGTTCAGAATAGCGAGAACCTGCAGAGGGCAGAGGCAGATACCAAGCTGCCTCTTTTCTCTGGAAAGTGACAGTGGGTGTTTGTGCCCTGGACAGCAAAACTACAAATACTGGGATTAATAATTACAAAAAGACAGTTCAGGCCGAGTTTCAAATCATTGTTTACAGTACCTTGTTAATGTGCTTCCAGAATTGACCAAGACACTATGGAGAGATAAAGGCTTTTCAGTGACCTTTGCTGTTAGTTTTCATTTAAGTCTTGGTAAATCTCAATGTTAACTTGGCTATTTGACTTTGGAGTTTTGCTTTTGAAGTAAGTATTCTGTCATCTATTTCATGAAATATTTTTAATGTCAGTTATTCTGTGGAAAATGTGAGGAAGCTTAAGTTGATATTCTAATTGCCATCCTCTAGCCAACTATGTCTTTACATTGTTTAAAAATACTGTAGTGTTCCATCCTATAAATTCCTCCTGTATTGCAATGGCTAGAATTATAAAATATTTTCAATATATCTAACATTGCATTTCTCATTTTTTGAAATTGTTTTGTGAAAGAGAATCATACTGAAACTGACAATGCCTATATAACCAGTGCTTGTTTTTTTTTGTAGTAATTGGTGAACGTAGCACAGAGAACACCAGCACAAGATAAATTTCATTGGGTCTCTTGATTTTCTAAACCAAAACATCAACCCAGATGGGATTACTTGATAGAGCCTAAGTTGACGTTCTTTGGGGCTTTAGCTAGTTCAGTGAATTCGAGCTTTTCTACGTTTCTTGTCTTACAGCAGTCAGCCTAAGACTCCTACCGACTGTCCAGCTAATAATTAAGCAGTTTCAGGGAGTTAGTGCTTCCTGACCAAAATGTATTTCAGTGAGTTGCTCAGCCCCCACATGAGTACATGTTTTTTTAGTTGCCCTCCCATGTAATTTTCTGTTTGCCTTTTCGAAACCAGGGACTGGCCAAACCTTCTGGCTTACTGCCTAAGAGTGTGGTCTTTGTATCTTTAAATCTTTCCTATAAAAAAAATTTTTTATGATGCAGAAATTACTCAAATTTAATTGCCCATAGTTTTCTTGAAACAAAACTGCTTGTGTGTTTACAGATTGACTGTAGTATCTCTGCAATAGAGATTTATGCTTGGATGTCTTAAAAACCCTCGATAATTGCTGTTCAGCCCTTCACAAATTTTTTTCTTTTCTAAACTTTAGTTGCCCTGTCATAAATTAGATATTTTCATTCCAATTTTAGCATGCTTGTCCTCTTGACTTGGGGGTCTTAGCTTCGATTTGGTCTGCTCATAACCATCAGTTTCTTATTGGAGGAGTATCACCCCCAATATCTTGACTGTCAAATGAAAGAGTATTGTGCTGGCCTGACATGTTTGTAGTGTCTTAAGGTACCAGAATTATTCTGTGCAGTTGCTCTTAAAGTAAGATAAACATACTCTCTAAAAGCACCTGACATAGTGAAAAATCAACCAAGGCAGAAAGATGAGTACTTCTACGAACCTTTGGGACCTGGAATGATTGGAAGGAGAATGGGTGCATGGTCCCTACCTAGAGTGAGTTACTGGACCAGACTGGGTGTTGAACTGGTTTTCGTAATTCTGTGTGGGCAGCTTGGGGGGTGGGGGGTTAGGAAACGGGAAGATAGGAAAGGCAGCAACCAAAGCTTGGACTTGAGCAAAGCTTATGCAGCACTGACCAGCAATGTTTAGGAAGCCATGGGGACAGTGACAGTAACAAGTGAAAGGTCTTACCAAATTGGTTAGACCTGGAAAAAGCATTGTTACTGAGGAAGTGGGCCAAACATCAGTTGTGATAATACACTTTGTATGGGTGGTTCTTCAGGTTCCAAATGAATGAAGGCAGTGGTCTCTGCCACTGGGCTTGATCATTAAAAATCCATCTGGATGATAACGGATCCCTTAACAGAGCACACAACTTTCTCTGGAGTACACATTGGAAAATTGTCATCCTGAATTTCTCTGTCTTGGGCCTCCATTTCCTTTTCTTGTTCTAAGATCCTCATTCATCTGACTCATGAGAATGAATCATACTCTTAGACAATATCCTCTCCACAACATGAGATGGGCTTCATGGCACCCAGGGGAGCTGGCATTGTGAGCCTCAGCCTCCTGGAACCTTATCTTCTTCCCTGAAGAACTTGGCTGCGGTCAGCTGTTGGGGAGCTCTACACTTGTATTAATTCTCTGGTTAAATTGATGATCTGTTGGGGTTTTTTGTTGCATGGGAGAAAGTGGGGAAGAACCAGAGCACATGGCAGGGCTGAGGACCGATGTGGTGCCCTGGGTCAGAATGCAGTTGCCCAAGTACAAAGCTAGTGCCTTACTCCCTGTACTGTCTTTTGGCCCTCAGTCTGGATTTTATTCACATATAATAGCAGATGAAAAGAACACTTAATTACTTTGAATTTGGTTAAGAGATTAGGTGAGTATAAATGATGGCATACATATTTGAACAGCTTGGGGTTCTAATTTTTTAAAGATTATGAATCTTGAGATGGGTTTTTGGCATTAGGTTTTCTTGCAACTTTGCAGTATAGTGTATTTGGGGAGGGGTTTTCAGATCTCTGGTTCTGCTTTTATGACAGTGTTTTGACTGCTTTTTGCTATCTACAGTTTTAAGGAAATTGAAGAAAGGACTTATTTCACCTTTTAAAATACTTCACATTTCTGATTTTGGTATTACTAATTTTACACATTTTTGCAGAACATGAACAATTTTTTTTTCTTACAGTTTTAAGCTTACAGAACATTGCAGGAACAGCACAGAGCTATTTACCAATCTTGTCAACCCACTCAGAGTTTTGCATTTCTCCCCATAATGTCCTTCACAATAGAAGGTTCTGATCTAGGATAACACACTTCAGTTAGTTGCTGTCCTTCAAAGCATAGTTTTTTTTAGTCCTTGATGTGTATGACCTTGACCTTTTTTCTTTTTTTTTTTTTTTACCGTTTACTTGACAATAGTCTTACAGAGCATCCCTCAATTTTTGCTTGGTGTTTCCTCATAAAAGAACTCAAACCAAGCATTTGGGGAGAAACGCCTGTGTTCTCTCCACTGTCCCAGTGTGGAACTGCACGGGGCTAGTGCCCCTTTGTATTTAGCAAGTGTTGCTTGGGGAGCTCTCCATTTTTATTTTTTTTAAGTTGTGTTCAAGTTTTAAATGTTTTATATAAGGTCAGAGCAATAGTACAGAAGGTAGGGCATTTG